TTTTTTTTTTTTTTAAATTAATAGCTTCTTAAAATAGGTTGTTTTGAACTATATGTGATATGTTATCTCCTTTTGATATGCAAATACCTTTAAAATTCATGTAGATTTAGTCACCACTTGTGATTTCCTATGTGATGGTTGATGAGTATTAAAAAGAGTCAATGACAATTAGCAACATACACGTTCGGGTATTATGTTTCAATACATGGAAAACTTTATTTTGTGCTATCAGATGCAACAGTGATCTTGATTTAAAAATATTAATTTGTGAATACCACTGTGACTGGTAATGCCATCAATCTATTTATAATGGAATTTTTAATAATATTAAAATAAGTTTCAAATCTTCAATTGATTTGCAAAAATATAAATTTTTAATTTCATAACTTACGAAAATAAATGTTATTGAACATATTATCCCATCGGGTTTAACACTAGTTTGGGAGTAACACCCAAAATATCCAATCAGACTCGTAATCACACCTTCACCGTCACACTCACACCGCATCGTTGAACGAAAGAGAACGCGTTTTGCTTTCGCTTGAGAGTCAAAAAATCTTAAAAGAAGAAATCTAAAGTTTGCGTTCTTTCACAGATCTGTATTCTCCATTCTGTTTGCAATTACTTGGCCTCTTTTTATTTTTGTTGGTTGATTTCCTTGGAGGTTGACGACTGATTGATTCACCATGGTCTCGACTAGTAAAATTAAATCGGTGGATTTTTACAGATAGCTGACATTTTTCATCGTTCATTTTTGATTTTTTTTGTTAGGTGGATTGCATTTTATTTTCATTCTGCACTTCTCTGGATTCTTGTTTGGTGAATTTTATAACCTTTGTGGAACATTATTCTGATGGAATATTACAAAGCCGTTCTGTGAAATATTTATTTGATTAAAACAAAATCATCAGCCCTTCCTGGGTTTTATTGTTAATGAAAGATCAAAAGAGCTTTAGTTTTCAGTGTGCAAAACTATGCGGTGAATCTGTGTAATGCGCTATGTGTGCCGATGAATTGGTGCAGCTGGTTTGCTATTGAGAAAAGCTGGTACTCATGTTGTATCAGTTGGATCTTTATATGAATGTAATTCTGTAATGAAGACCTGACTAGATTCATCAACCTACATGATATTTGATCTGGGCTGAGTGGTGCTAGCTACACATTACTTTTTATGTAGGACATTCTTTTTTGGTTTTTGGGTTTGCAACATGTCTGCAGAATGCATCTATGCAGTATCCCATGAATCATTTGAAGATGATAATTTTTTGTGGTGCATGCTCCTTTGCTTGTTTTGCCTGGCAAGATTTACTTTTATATTGTATGAGATTAGAAAATAGCAATGATTTGATTTTTTTTTTTTTAGCTCATAGCGAAATATTAGTTCCACTGAAGAAAAGAGATGGAAGTATTTCTATCGCTGCATCTTTTACCAAGCTTTTCCTATTTGTGCTCTGCTCGTAAAATATAAAGTTCACTTTTGTTTAAGACGATATTGACCTAGAGATGAAAGAGCGCTAGTAAAACTCAAACAGTTTTAAATCTTAGTTTAGTTGGAATCCAAGAAAATGATTCGTTTGTATAATACTATTTTTAAAACGTTCTATTGAAGATTGTATGATAATAGGTCTGCCGTCCGCCTGTCTCTTGATATGATCTAATACCCCTCTTTCTCTCAACCCCTCCCTCTTTCTCTCAACCCCTTACTCGTCCATTGCAGGAAAATTCCCAGGGACTTGACCGAGGCATCACTATCAGGTGCTGGATTGTCAGTTATAGCAGCTTTTTCTATGGTCTTCTTATTTGGAATGGTAAGAAGCTAATCTTCAATGATGACGATTAAGTAATTCTGCCCAAGCAGATATTGGAAAAGATTTTTCGATAATGATTGGTTATGGTAAGAAGCTAATCTTCCATGATTCATGTTGATAATATTTTGGTCAAGATAAATATTATTTTGTTAATATTTGTAATACTTTCATTGATATTCATTATAATAAATTACAAAATTGATTTCCATGATCCATGTTAATAATATTTTGGTCAAGATAAATATTACACCGTATTTTAAGTTCTAACCATAATATAATATTTTTTTTCACAAATATTTATTTTTTATCCAAAAATATATATGGAAAATCGTAACAGGTTAGGTAAAATTGTTTTTCCATGTAATCAGACAAAATGAAGTTGGTGAATTAATCTTTGCTAATATATTTTTTTCTTAATCTTTATTTTGTTAAATATAAAAAATAAATTGTTCTTCAAATTAATATAATTTACTATTTAAGAGATAATGACCATATATATTAAATAGTTTTACTAATGGTAAAAAATTAAAATTAAAATATATTAACTATTTTTTAAAATTTATTTGTATATTATTGGGACCCATGATTATTTTTTTTATTTTTATTTTGATTTATTTATATAATTAAATTCTTGTAAAATAAATTTTCATTGCAGAGTATGCTAAATAAACTATAAATCCTTATAATGCGAATTAGAAAAATCTTGATCATAGAAGGAATTGAGTTTTTGGTATTTTCTAAGTCAAAGTTGTTTAATTAGTATACAAAATCAAATTCTAAAAAAACATGTATATATTTTGTAAAATATTTACACACTATTTAATTTTAAATTTATTTACATATTTTAAATTGATTACATAAATAAATAATACTAACGTGCATTAAATATTTTTCATTACATAAAATAAAAAGAAAAAGAAAACGTACAACTTCTATAACTTTATAAATAATAATGACATTATATGACAACAAAGTATATAATAAAATAATAATTAAGTATTATATAGTGAACAATAATAAGTAAAATTATATACTAAAATTAAATTTATATTAA